ATTCTAGAGCAATTTTCATCTTTTCAAATAATACTGTGATGCCTCTAAAATAAAATGTCACAGTTTTAGTGTTACTTGATAAATTAAGAAAACTGTAAATCCTTATTATTTAATTTTAACGGAGACATTAGCTCGTATGGCACTTAAGAACGTGCATTGACTGCTTAAGTATCGGTGTACATAGTGTAGTATTCACATATCTATATCACACCGAAATGAACGGTACCAAACGTGGTACATCATGTACTATCTATTTACAGCTTTTAGTATACGTACTTGCCTTAGAATTAATTTTATATTTACGTATCTAATTTTATATTTTCTTGATTGTCATTAAACAATTCAGTACTTTGCAAACTGATTCTTATCTTCTCCTTTAAAAATTCGAATGTATCACGAGTATATGTTCAGATTTATCACGCGTACTTCAATGTTGTATTTCGTGTAGTTCCAAAAGACTAACTTTTTAAGAAGGCTAGATTATATTTTCAAATTCTGAGATTCGAAGTAGAATTCAATGAATTTCACGGTAACACTGAAATATATATTTAACGCTTCACGATATATTTACTCTATAACAAACGATGGTTATCAACAAAAGAATATACAAAATTTGAATTGATATAGTATTTTTTCATACAAAAGGTACAAAGAATAAATCGCTTTACTGAGATACTTAAAAAAGTACATAGAACTAGAGTTCCTCTTTAAGTTTTCCATTGTAACATAGACAGGAGTGATTAGGTTGCAGCACTTCTTCCATGTTATCCAGTACCTTAACTTTATTCTTTAAGCGTTTATTCCATTCCTGAAATGTAAAAACATGTTATTCTATGACATATATTTAAAATGAATAAATGAAGTTGAATCTGTCTAACTTTACTTAATTAAATAATTTCTTACGTTGAATAGAACTACATGATAACATAATATATCACGAGGTAGCAAATTGTCTCTTGCAAACTGCCTAGCAGCTTTAGATATTTCTAGTGCATCCCCATCGTGTTCTTTAGCCCATATTATTTTCTCGACAAGATCCGATAAATCATTCTCTACAGGCACATAGTGTTTCTCAGGTACAAGATCATTATAAAAGAATTCATAGTACTTCGATTTTTGTTTAAGGACTAAGGAATCTCCAGCAAGCAAATATGGAAATCTGTATGCAGCTACTGTACCGTCAATGTTTAGCTGATACTTGTACTGCATAAATATTAACAGTGTTAGAGTTACAATATATATTGTAGATCTAAAATATTATTACATATTTGTAGTTTTTACCTTAAAAAAATTAAAAAACGATGTACGGCTTTGTACAGGACCATATTTATCCATTTCATTCTTAAAGAAGAAAAAGTTGGTAATAGAAACATTAAATAAATCAGGGTGTTTCCTTGAAATATCGATCAGATCTAGTCGTTCCCGACAAGAATCACGTCCTTGCCAGAACACTTTCTCTATCTTTCTTTTCCATGGTACATCTGTGTTACCTTGTATAGATAGCAAATCTAACATTACCCTGTTTTATATGTAACACCGTTTAACGTGTAAATCATTAAAATATTGTTTATATATTTGTTAAATTTATAATATAAAATCGACAAAGTTTCTACCTTCCCATTCCTTCTAAGGATGATTGAGTAATGTCATAAGTAGGCATAACAATGTCTTTCGTGTCCGAGGAACCACACCAAGAAAAGATGGGATAGTTTTTGCCTTTATTGGGCACTAGTGGCCAATCTCCTAAGTTCACAAAGAATTCTACATCAGGCAACACGACTTTTCGAGTGATGGACAATAGGATGGAGTCCATGAATATTTTGAAACCCACATGTTTCCCATAACATTCCCTAAAAATCTTGTTTTATCTAGTTTAGTTCAAACATAGTTTTAAAGAAGGATTGAAATAAGGATACATTAATACTTACTTTATTAGACTTAATTACATAATGACAAAGGCTATAGCTTCCCGGTCGATCGTATGCTTTTATAATATCTTGGCGTATTTCATCAAAATCCACATTGTTGAAAGGAATTAAATCATTGTGTATTTGTGTGTAATTCTTGGAACACTCCATATCTTTCATCCACCTATTAATTGAGAGTTGTGGGCAGTAACATTCTTCTTCGTGGATAGGACCTGAACAGTTGCATTAAATGTATTGTTATAATATAAATGATTTAACAGCAATGCAATAGTTGAACTAAATTTATGTTTGTAATTGATTAATACAAACATACGTAGTTCAATTATACAGTTAAATAATACCTTTGAATTCCAGTGATAGGACAGGTACATGTTTTACTTTAACTTTCAATTTTAAATTGAAGCATGTATTATGCAATTTGTATCTTATAATATAACTTCCATCTTTGCAATCTAAAATTTGTGTCCCTATATGACATGCATGTCCAACTGAAGTTTGGCCTTGTATATGAGCAGAGATTACATCCTTCTCCTGAGATTCTGTTAAACTTGAATATTATTTAAATAATCGTTCAGTCGCCGTAAAATATGCACAATAACCGAGTAAAATAATATTATAATACATTGAAAAAATGATTTTTGTACACAGAAAACATACTTCATTCCGTTAGAGTCTATAAGTTGGAAAAAAATATATCGGGCTTGCATCGTTATTTTATCTGGTTTCAATCCGGGACCCCAAATAACCGTTTTATGCGGATCAATTTCAACATTCTTTCCTTCTTGACAAATCAGCAATATTAAAAACGGTAAAAGATACATTTCTCTCGGTTTTACTAATTTAAATTTTTAAAACCACGTTTATACGAAAAGAACTTCACGTCTTATAACATTGAACTAATTAGATAAAATCTTCATTTCTTTCAGGTTCTTAAACCAAGCAGATAAAACACTATCGTATCATTAAAAAATACAAAAATATATTCAAATAAATTTCATCCGGCTACTCCAATGTTCTGAAAATCAAAGAGCGGTCTTAACACAGAACTGTCTGAAGTTGGCCAACATCCCACTACTTCCTATTAACTAAATATTCTGTTCATTCTAAAAAAAAACAAGTACCGACTTAATTAATAGTTATGCATAAAATTATGTAAAGAATAATTCTAATAATAATAAGCAATTTCAAGCATGTGTAATAAGGATTTTTTTATTTATTCATCGGTTACACTGCTGCAGAATCAAAATTATAAATAAAATCCCTAGCGAGACCCCTCCTGCCCCTGTGCGGTCATTGGGCTCGTCACGTGAATGACGCAAAGTGACAGTCATTTGTAACACGACGCTGTTAACAAAGAAATTTCACGACAGCCAATATTAGAAATGTAACTATGTTCTAGTATAGATTCAGAATCTCACATATGGCTGTCTCTGGTACTAGGTTAACGTTGTTTACAAGGATCATATTAACTTTTTATGGAGCGTAGTTTTTATCGAATAATCGTTTAAAATGAATTTAAATATTTATGATGTGATGGAAGAAGATCGGATCTATTCCGTGCAAATTTCTGGTATCGCTCGATTTGTCGAAATCGGTGAAAAGTGATATCAGAGAAACATGATTCTCAGCCGCCTGTGATAATAGTTTCGCTTTTCTTCAAATAATTGGAATCTCAGAAGCGGTGTAGCTGTTTAATAATAGTGTTTAAAACACTTTTAGCATAGATACTTTGTGTAAAATGGAGTGCAAAATCGACGATTTACCAGACGTGCTTTTAGAGTATATTTTAAGCTTGATTCCACCTTATAAAGATCTGCAAGAATGTAAGCTTGTGTCCAAAAGGTGGTTTCATGCTACTAGAAGTATGTACAATTTTTAGTTTTAATTATTAACATACAATTCCGTAGTTTGAGTGAAAATTACATTATGTATGCAATTTTTATGGTAATCGAGAAAATTTTTTGCTTTTATGACAGATGTAATACAGCATAACAAAGCACATTTTCAAAAATCAGTGGCTTATGGATCATTACTTTGGAGTGCTTGGCCGTCCATACATTGGATGCCTACTATAGGAAAAAGACACTCCCATTCAGCTTGCATTTATGATAATTCTATGTATGTCTTTGGAGGATGTACAGCTACATGTACAACATTTAACGACTTATGGAGATTAGACCTGGATACAAGAACATGGGTCAGATTAATTACCATGGGAAGTTACCCGTCTCCTAAAGCTAGTGCTACTATGTTATATTATAAAAAGAGCTTTATATTATTCGGTGGATGGTCTCATCCATCACCTTATCCTTTGCATCAGGTACGCATACCTATTTAAAGACTAAAAATGTTATCACATTGATTTAATTGTATTTTCTATACTTTCAGCAACGGAAATTATTCAATGAATTACATGTATATTCTATAGAATCTAATAAATGGATTGTTATAAATACATTGGAGACACCTCCACCCACATCAGCACATTCTGCATCTATTCACAAAAATAATATGGTTGTGTTTGGTGGCATATGCAACGGATATAGGTAATATATTTTAAGATAATAACATTTTGATAACTTCAATTTCATTTAATAACAAGAACACCATGTTTCTTTGAGGCAGATCCAATGACATATGGTGTTTGAACTTAGACTCTTATAGTTGGCACAAGCAAACTACATCAAATATAAAACCACAGCCACGTTATGGTCAGTCTCAAATTGAATTAGGAGACTATCATCTTCTTATACTAGGTATCTTTTATACTACAGTAATATTAATTAGGTATATATTGTCATAAATACACCTACTTCAAACTAATGATTAAAATGAAATTAGGTGGTTGTACTGGACCTAATGTTGCTATGAACGATGCCTGGCTTTTGAAAATGGAAGGTGCAACTTGGACATGGAGGAAAGTAATTATGCACAATATAGAATGGGCACCAACACGAATTTGGGGTCATCAGGCTTGTAAGGTAATATAAAATACAGTTAATAATAACTTATGACATTGAAGATTGCTTCTTATAACTATTCTCTGATTTAACAGGTGGGAAATTACGTTATTGTTCTAAGTATACAAAAATCTCAGAGAAGGTCAAACGACGTGAATATATCGTTGAAGAATGTTACTAGTCAAAGAACAGCTCCATCGCGAACGTGTGATTTTGCCACTATATTCGAAAGGTTCGAAAAGTTTTATAAGAATTATTAAAAAAAAAAATACCGTGATTTAACATAAATTTCTTGAATATGTTTCAGACCAGAAAATGTACCCCGTATCGACAGGGATGTAAATGTGAATGGTCGGCATGGATCATTCTCAAGAGCCTCTGCGATGAACGCGCACTCGTCTTCTCATCCTCCTAACCTTGCAAACTTAACATTGCGAAACGATAATGTTTTAGGCATGGCTGCTTTCCGTGCTAAATCAATACGCCACGAACGATATCGGCAATGCCAGTTAGAACTACTCCGGAGCTTCGAAGAGAGAATTCGAAATCTAAGGACACAGTCGAAAACTACGAAACGAGCTGGAAACACGCTGTCCATTTTTATATTAGATATTACGAATGTTTTATGCGACGAGTGCACTGCTTCGTGGATTCCTTTAAAGTACAATAATCAAACGGGCCCCGACGAGAGGATACTTTATTCGCTAGTTGCAGGTCGGGGTGAACTGATAGTATTTGGTGGCATTCGTAGAGAAGAGACGTCTTTGCAAAATCATCCGGACATGGATGAGGTCTACAATGATCTGCATTTTATAAATCCGCCGAGATACGTTATTTAATATTCTATAATAAAAGACAATACTAAGGTGTTAGTATTACGATGACTGTAGTGTGTGACAGAACAGTATTTGCTGAGGATTATTTTAATGTTGAAAGTAAATGCAGTGCACTAGCTTAAGGAAATTTTATAAGTATCTTGTGATAAATATTTAAAATGTTGATTTATATCTTTTTGAAAAGAGATGTCTCGAATAAAATCTAATTCTTTTTATAACATGACAAGGATTTACGGCATGTTAGTTTTTATTAAACTATACGCATGCAATTATAAATCCACTAGATTTTATTATAAAATCGTTTATTTACATTATTCTCCGTGTCATGTAATCTGTAAAATGATTTTAATCGTCTTCACCTATAGCTGTTTTTAAACTACCGAATACTTGCGATGGTATCATTTGTTTCTCAATAGGTATATCTGAAAGTAAAAATATTCAATTAAAGAAAAACAAATTACGAAATGTGTATGTTGATATAAAAGAAATTGTCCAGAACGATTTATAAACGCATCACATATGAACAAACGTAATAAAAGCCTAAATGTGTTATTGTAGATTGTATTACCTTCCTCTATGTCTGCGTCATTGTCATTGACATCGTCGTCTATATCAATATCTATTTCATCCGGATTGTTCACTTGAGTTTCAGCTTTGCCATCCTTCTCCGTTACACCACGAACGAATTTAATACTATCCTTGTATGTAGGGCCATTATCTGCAACAGTACGTAAATTATATTAACAAAGATAAATGCGCAGTTAATTCTTAAAATTTCTCTTGAAAAGGAACACTTATAAATTACCTGCGTTCGGTGTTTTACTATCCAAAAGTCGCATGGCATCCACTGGTACATCGGCGGGCGGGTTTGTTGCATTGTTCAACATTTGAGCAGACATCATATTCACTTGTGTATTGTACATAGCTTGAACGCTACGTTTAATTCGAAGCATTTCACGCATCGTATCTTCGTTGCCGTGTCTCACCTCAAACTCTTTCCATATTTGCCAGAAATTCGACGTTACCTAAATAACATATGAACGTATAAATAAATTAATCTGTTTTATAAGTACACTTAGATCGTATCACAGATATATATTGCATACTCTTGGGTCACAGATTTGACTGCAATGTGCATATATCGCTCTAGCTCTGTCGACCTCCCCTAATTTCGTTTCCATTTCTGCAAATCGTAGACACATTTCCCTTGTATTTTCTTCATTAAGAACTTCAATAGCTTTCTCGTAGATCTGCCGCGTTTTTGGTACACCATAAATGTCCGCTGCTTTCTTTATGTATATATTGAACATCTATAACATTGAAAGCAATTGTGTAAATTTTGTTATTAATAATACAACATATTATTAATAATACAACCGACTATAATACCTCAAATCTTTCTTCAGGAAGAACGGCACTTGTTGCCCGCTCATAGACAGACATTGCATGCCTAGCTAAGCCATGTTCCTCTTCTAATTTTGCATACAATAAATATAAAACTGCAACCAAATAATTCTGTTATTAAAAGTTACTTGATCATTGAAAAGTTCATTGTCTGAATATTAAAAGGCAATACCTTTAGCATATTTTAGCGGACAGTGTTCTAAGCACTGTTCAAACAAATCTCGCGTTCTTTCCAATTTAGTACCGCCATAGCGTTTCAAGAATTTCGTAAGGTATGTATTCCATATGTCATAAACATTAGGCCACTTGAAAAGCGCAATTCCCTTTTCATAAGCCTACGAACAAATTTAAACATTACACGCCGTTAAAGCTGACTAAACTTCAATGCAATGCATCGAGAACTGTTTCACTTACTCTGAAGGCTTCTTCAAAATATTTATTTTCCTCTAAAAAGAGACCATAATTAATAATAATTTGCGGTGTGGCAATTTTTAAATCTATAATTTTGTCGTAGACTGCTTTGCATGTCTGTATAAAAAATATGAAAGTTACGAATTGGAAAAATAAAAATTAGAAATGTAAAAAAGATATCTTTGTACATCAGAGTCACCTTAAACGTTCCAAAACTTTCTTCTAGGTCGGCGTACATAGACCAAACTTTCAAGGATTTGTACAATCTCATTTGTACAGTTTCTGTTTCATCGTGATACGCCACTTTACGGAATGGCATGGCGGTGGCTCGGTGCATAAGTTTTAGCGCCTCTTTGTAATTCCTGTACAGTTAAACGTATTTTAGATTTTTAGTCAACATCGTACGTTTTATAAGAATATTAAAAACATGACGTACCCATGTCTGATTTCCATTTCTGCCCATTCACACCACACAGAGGCAAGGTCGTCAACTTTAGTGTAAGGAACATGAGTTGCTTTTTCAAAAACTACTCTAGCATCTCCTATTTGTCCATTTTCTTCATAAAATTTACCGAATGCCACCCATAAAGTATGCAATTTTCCTACTGCTAATTGTGGTTGTACAGTCTGTACAGCTTCTGTGTATGTATTAATAATCTGAAAAATTATTATATTAAAAAAAGTTTGTTTGCGTTTGTCTTTGAGCTATTTTTCCATGAATAAATGTATACCTCATGTGGTTGTCCTTCATAAAGCATAACTCGTTTATGCCATTCTTGTACGTTATGTGGATTTTGTCTAAGTAATACAGAATTTAATAATAATAATCGCCTCTCCATTAAGTGTTCAAATCGGGCTAATCTCAATTCCAAATCTATATCATCTGCACATACAAAATTAACAAATAAGAAAATATAGATTTTATAGAATATTAACTGAAGCAATTGCTTTTATACCATCTTCATTAGGATCTTTTGCAGCTTCTTCCATACGTTTACTAAGGCTAAGTTCTTCAAATTGTGCATAAGCATCAAAAACTTGTGTGAAATCTCTGACAGTAGTTACTGTTTGTATTGCTTCCTCATAAATGTCTCTTGCCTGTTAAAATCAAAATTTGGAATTATTTGATGTTATTTGAAATTATTTCAGTGCAAATGAAAAATATTCTAGTACCCTTTCAAACAAACCACTGCGGACATAATAGTCAGCTAATGAGTTCCAAAGAGGACCTAATTGATCAGTATATCTTCTTAGACCACCTCTGATAATGGCATCTACATTGAGAGACTTTATTTTAGAAGGATTCTTTGATATTAAATCACATAATTCATTCCATAATTGATGATTAGATTTCCCATGCTTTGAGACAAAATCATCTTGATTAACAATTTGTGCAAGTTTCACAGCTGCTTCATCAAGTCTTTCAATAGATATCAGATACTCTATATATTCTTCTGTATCTTCTGGAGCTAGCTAAACGTAACATATGTGTTAACTAAGTATAAATGAATAAGATATTAAGTTTCACTAATTTAACATGTATATACCTTTAAATATCTCCTAAAAACCCTTACTGCAGTCTCATAAACATTGTGCTTTTTTAGAAATTCAATATACAATGGCCATATGCGATGATGTTGTGTGATGGGAAGAGCTCTAAGTGCTCTATCAAATACTTGTCGAGTACGAGTAATATAACATTGATCTGTCATTAATGTACAATAATCCATCCAAATCCTAGGCATCTTATGCATGAAAACTAATGCTCTCTCGAACGCATTATTCACATCTTCGTAAAGAGGATCTGTTATACATCTTCCTTTTAACTGACTTACACGTTGACGCAGGTAATTGTACCATAATTTGTAACTAACAAAAAATTTGTGTATTACTCAACAGTCCACTTAATGAAAAATTATGTATAAGGGTCTTACCTTCCAGGAAGCTCTTTCAATGCTCTTTCATATACAATGTTTAAATTACTACTTTTTGTACTTTTTAAATGGTCTATATAACGCTGCCAATGTTTAACAGAATAAGGATTTCTCAAAATTTCTTCCTCGTATGGTAAATCTTCTTCATTCTATGTAAAGACATTAATATTAAAGAAAAACTCATTCAAAATACATTGAGGTTAACTGAAGTTAATATACTTACGAAAACATATAAGTTTCCTTCCAAATCTTTGCGTTCCAACATCATTGCTAATGTTAATAAATATTACACGATGTATATAACTTGATAATAATAATTACTCAATTGCATTACTTATTTACATTTAAACATTAAGATGAGAGGTTAGGTTCTCTGTTGACGCACTTTCATACAAATTCTTCGAGCTATACTATGTCAAGGCGGTATTTCATTGATCGTAATCTGGAATGCTTGGATCTAGTAGGTGCACGTTTATTCGCTAATAGAGTTACCTAGAAATAACTGTAACAATTATTCTCAAAATTACAATAAAAGGAGAAATTATTTGGAATAATTAAAATAGTTTTATTTAAAACATTCTCAAATTAATTATTATTTTGAATATGTTCTACAGATAAAACGATAAAAATCATTCGAGAGGTGCGCAATTTAGAAAAATTGAGCATGAAGGATTACTCGAAAATCAAGTTGCACAACCTGTTTACCTCATTTTTCGAGGAGATATTGGACTGTGACAGCTGTCATATCAATATTATGATTGTGATTGATAACTTTTAATATAAACAATTTAACCGATGTCTGCGTTTACTGTTTCACAGTTGGACTAGTCGCATTTTACATTTACATCGCTCATAAATTAATTACGTTTCAACTGTTCTTCCAAATACACGTTGTAAACGATGACAATGGGTGATGAGACTCCAGTTGCATCACTGGTTCTTCCTGTAATCTTAAGACCAATATTAATGAAGGTATATTTAACCTGTATGATATTTTTTTACCATATAAACCATATGACCGTCAAGAAAATAAATGCATGGAAAAACAGCAAACCATTGTTACACATTTATTTGTTTGATTGTAGCTAGAAAGACAAAATGTATTGGCTGCTCAGACATTACGCACAGCTCTATTGAAAGCTGAAAATTCTTATCCAGGAATTACACATGACTTCATTCTTGGTATAATACGACGTGCTGAACTTAATCTTGATATGAATGAAAGTGTTCTGAGATTACAAGGAGCAGCTTCTGATTATGATGGTATAATAATATCGACCAAAGTATTGATATTGTATAATAACCATTTAACAAACACAAATTTCCATATGTCATAATTCTAGTTGTGGAATATAGATCAGCTAGATCTGAAGATGCTTTCCAAGAGTTAAATCGTAAATCAACCTCATTAAAAAGAATACTTAGTCGAATTCCTGATGAAATAACAGATCGCAAAACTTTCCTTGAAACGATCAAGTATGCATTGATATTTATGCATTTCATTTGTGTTCAAAGTTTCTTGAGTATTGATTTAATGCAACATATTTTTGTACATTTTCAGAGAAATTGCTAGTGCAATAAAGAAACTTTTAGATGCAGTGAATGAAGTCAATGCATTCATACGTGGTTCTGCAGGAAAACAGGCATTGGATCAGAGGAAAAGGGAATTTGTTAAATATAGTAAAAGATTTAGTAACACTTTGAAAGAGTATTTTAAAGAAGGACAGTAAGTGTTTCTTATAACTTTAAGTTTACAGTAATTATAAATGCAATATTTCTAAATTAAAGTTTATAATTTTTACAGAGCTAATGCAGTATTTGTGAGTGCACTGTACTTGATCCATCAAACAAATATGATAATGCTCACGGTAAAAGACAAATGTGAGTAATGAATGTTCAAAGTTATGGAATATAATACATTCACGATAACGAGGTTATTTGTAACTATTATAGAGTGTAATATTATAATTTTATCGATTTTGTTACATATTTGATAATAGAATTTAAATATCATTTAATGTAAAGTATATAACATCATTATTTTATATGTATTAAATTGTTATAACGTCATTATTAACAAATGAAGTCATAAACACATGAGAAAAGATCTAATAAAAGATATAAATGTTGTCCACAATGTGTTATGTTATTATTTCACACATGAAATCAAAATTTCCGTTTAAATATAATCGAGAGGGAGAAGGCAATTTATTCCTGAAAAGAATAGTATTGGAAAGTTTGGAATAAGAAAGACATTTCTCCAAATGTATAAGAAATAAAAATTACTTTATTGATAACAAATGTACACAAATGTGTTGTATATTTCCCATTTGGAAAATTGAATGGCTTGGCTATCTACATCCTCATTGTATTAACAATGACAATGAGTAACAGTAAGGGTTAATGGTAATTATTGTAATGAACATTACTGGAAAATGTACAAATCTTCAAGCACGTTTGCTATCTGAAAATGCTCGTACAATACTGCCAATGCCGCTGACATTGTATACCTTTTCATGCCAGATCAATAAATGACTACTGCTACCTTCCGTGGGAATCTCAAATCCCCGATATATATATTTCATTAAAACATCCACTAAGTCTCGATCTAATTGTGCTAGACAGTCTTCCATTTGATGAGACTTTATACTTAAGAGAACTTTTAAAGTTAAATTCCTTGCATTATCCTGTAATGTTTAAAAAATCTTTTATACAACATGATTAGTTTTGTAGAATGTCTCTGTTCAACAGCAGAATGAGCTTATAACAGTAAAACGATTACATCAAGAATATAAAATTTTTAATTGTTTTAAAATATCAAGTAACATTGAAAACTACTATGAAAAGCAAACTATTAACGGCTAATCGAATATTTCTATAAGTTAACGAGTAAAGTAACACTAAAAATGTGTGACAGTGAGGTTACCTTTACTTGTTGATTTTTACATCCAAGTGGAGCACACTTTAATACAGAAATCAAAGCTTCAGCATTCTTACCCTTGAATAAATATTAAAGAAAATATAATGATGCACAGATAAACCTGTTATAAGGTAATTATAAGTCAATATAAGGAAACATTAAAAGGATATTGGCTAAGAAGTGTCAAAATTTCGTTCTCGTCCGGACCAGTCAATCCTCCTAATCCTCCGTCCGCATCTTCTTCTTTGAAGTTATTATCACTGTACTGATCTACATCAATTTTTCGAAATGCTGACGCCGACGTATCTTTTTTGCCATCGTTTCTTGACATTTTGACTACGTGCTTGACGTTTCACAGTGATCACGCCCGGCTTATCAACTAACGCTTTAGAATGAGTCTTCATTGGTCTTCAAATCCTGCTTAAGACGCTTTCCATTTGAATACATTCTAGGGAATGTTAAATTGTAAAAAGTACTTTACTGAAAATATCCTTCATTTCTTGCAAAGTAATGAACTCATAGTCGTTTTACACATAAAAAATTATATCACAATTAAAGGAATCGAAGTATCCAAAACATAAGAGAATAGCATCGAAAAATTCCACCAATCAAAAGCACGAAATATTTTGGAAATTAAATATCTCTTTCTGGTTTCGTTTAAATATGTATCTAAAAAATATTGATCTTTAAGTTACACTATATACACTAACCATGGGAATTTAGATTCTATTACTTTTTATTTGTCTCGAACAAGTAACGGAAGATAAAAATATATAAATTTCAGAATTTTCGCATTTGATCGAGTAAAAAAAAGTGTGTACACATTTCGAAATAATCTATTCGATACGGCTGTAAAAGAATTTTCTACAAAAAAATTCAGTAATTGGATAAAACGAACCAAACAGACGAAGATTGCTTCATATTTTTTTCATTAAATATTTGTGTATATATGAACGTAAAATCAAGTAATGTTTATTTATAAATGAGTGAACAAGTAAGTATATGTATACGTAATTATTTAATGGAATAATTAATGACTCATATTTTGATCTTGGTTACGATTTAGTATTTGAATTTTAACGACCTTAACACTTTACCGACCGGTAACGGTAAATGGTAGCCGATTAATTGGCTACCGGTCGGTAAAGTGTTGAGAGGCAACGAATTTCGTACAAACCTAACTCTTCAAACTCGACACAATGTAATTTTTAGAGCCGGTGACACTGTAAAAATTGACTTCCCAAGCACACACTTTTCATGGTGCAGTCTTATATAATTCAGTAGTTGATTTTAATTTCTATCACTTATAGTGCTGACTGCAAAACCAGCCTAAGTTGATATGACAGGATGTGACACGAAAATGGTAAGGGGTTCTATCTTATACCTCGTCTATGGTATAATTTTCAGCGGATAATAAACATGACTATAAAATATTAAGCGTTATAATATTTTCTATAATTAATTATAGTAGCTTTAAATATCATTTTATAATTCAACATCCACTACTTTTATTGTGAAACTGTTTATTTGATTAACAAACTTGGTAAACGTTAAATGAAGTAACTGTTTTATTACTTTTAATATGATGACTTGATTTTTTCATAAAATTATGAATTACCCAACACTCGTTAGTAAATTGTGTACTCCAAAAATATTGTGGTATCAAACGGATAATACGGTTATTGTACGGATATTATTACAAGATGTCGATAAGTATTTCTTACACGTCGAATGTGATCATTTATTATTTAGGTAGTTACACGTTAAAATTGTATGTTGATTATATTTACGATGTGCAATAAAAACTATTGTTTTTAGCACTACCGTAAATGAAAAAGATTATTATGTTGCTTTATACACATTTGGAGCAGTAGTAGCGGAAAAAACGACGCATAGAAACCTAGGAAGAGAGATAAAAATTACACTAGTAAAGGGACACAAATGTAACATCCTTGTAATACGGTTTTATTTACTTTCTTTTTAGTACTTCATGTTTATGCAACTTTTATTATTATTATTCGATAGGGACAGAGTGGTTAAGGCTACACATTGAAAAAGAGAAGAATCCTTTAATTGTAAGAGATGCAGATCACTTGTATAAAACTGATTGGTCTCGGTTTCCTGTAAGAATAGGTAATTGTTGAAGAGTACACAAAAATATATTACTTGGCAATTAAATGACAATGGCAATCAGAAGGGTCATGCAATCTAATAAAAGCATATTTTGCTGCAGAAGGGGAAAGTTTCTCAGAATACAAACGTCGAAATAATATATCACAAATTATGCCAGACGTGCCATCTACTGATGAGGAAGAATCTGATGACGAAGCAATGGATATGATATTTTCTTATTAGTTTATGTTAATGTTGTATCTATAAAATTTATATATTTACAGCATTTTCTTAAACAGATTGTATTATTTAAAGGAAAATTCTTTATTGAAAATAATGTGCATACAAATTGTTTCTGATAAACTATGAAGTCATCCAAACAATATTTAATGAAAAATAGAATAATATATATTCTATAGAATTTATATATATAT